AGGGGGGCGTCGTGAACTTCCCATTGGGTACTTTGAGCTAAGTCTGCTGTACATATGGTTAGGTCGATAGCCGACATGTCTCTATTGTTTTTATCGTATCTGGTAGGTTGGTTGTTATTTAATAGTACTAAATTGTTTGTTTCTATCCATTCTGATATTAGTTTGCCGTGATTATCTAGTTTATCTCCCGTGCCCCAGGAAGGGTGGTGGGCGTTGAAGTCTCCTAGAAAGATGGTAGATTTGTTGCCTATCTTTTTGAGTATGTTTAGATCCTCCGGTTGGATTTTCTGTTGTTGCCAGTGGTAAATGTTTATGATGTTTATTTTTTGGTTTTTAAGGGTGATTTGGATACCATTGGCTTCTAGGTTTGGGGTGTTTATTTTGATTTCCTCGTAACTTATGTCTTCTCTAATCAGTATTAGTAGGCCACCTGATGCTCTAATTGTTTTGTTTTTAGGTCTATCATGTCTGACTATGTTGTAGTTTGGTAGGTAGAATTTGGATTTATTGGAGAATTTAGTTTCCTGGATGCACGCTATATGTGGTCCTTGTTTTAGTTTAAATCTAGCTTTTAATTCGTGGCTGTGGGAGTTAAGCCCGTCCGCATTCCACTGAAAGATATTTAGGCCTGTCATTATTTGGGCTTTTAGTGTTTGGAGATTATGGATTTATTGTTTGTTTGGATTGTCTATAGTCCTGCGGTTGCTGTTGAGTAGTTTGTAAGAAATTCCTTGTAACTTTGAGTGGTCAGTTTTAGGTTTAGGGCTACTTTGTGAAGATTTTTGGAGCTAGCCTCTGGGTTTATTTGTTTGAGCATGTAGGCCAGTAAGATTGTGATGTTGTTTAGTTTGGAAGTTATGGGGGTTTGGGGTTGAGATTGGATTTTGCGTTTGCGGTTTTTAAATTTTTTAGGTGCTGATCGGGTAATTTCAATTTCGTTTGCATTATCTTCAGTATCGTATTCGTCTTCGTCTATATTGCTTTGGTTTATCTCCTCACTCTCCATGGGGGTTGTTTGTGTGTTTGGTAGTGCTTGCGTGTGCGTGCTGGGTATGTCCATGGGTTGAGTGCTGTTTGTGTCTTCGGGTAGTGCTTGCTCGTGTGTGGTTGTTGTTGCCCTGGTGGCTGCGGGTTGTATGGTGTTGGGTAGGGTTGAGGCGTGTGAGGTGCGGTTTGTTTTGCTTGCGGGTGTGGATGCAGCGAGTGGCTGTGGTGTGGCGAAGGTTTGGGGTTTGCGTGGGTGGTGGTAGAGTGTGGTTGTTGCTTGGGGGATTACCTTGGGGATGCCATCCCATGGGGATTGTAGGTGTCGGTCGTTGTTTGGTTGCGGTGTGGGTAAGAGTGGATTGTTTGTATGCTGTGTTTGTTTTCTTGTTTGGAGTTTGGCCGAGTCAATGTCGATGTGTTTGTTGGCCTGTTGGGTGAGGGTGTGTCTGTGGGGACATTTGTTGGAGAGAGAGGAGTGATTAGTTGCTTTACAATGTATGCACCAGGGAGCGCAGGCTCCTGGGCATTGGGTTTGAGCACAAGTCCTACATTTGGTTTTTTTAAATGTACAGGTGTTAGCAGTATGATTGTATTGTAAACAGTTTGAGCATTGTTTTACTTGCTTAATGTAGGGTTTAACCTCTAGTTTAGTAGAAGCGCCGAAAGAGATGAAGTTTGGGGCTTGAGGGTATTTTTCTGATTTCTGAAAGTTTATGATAACAATTGGTGTGTTTGTAGTTTTGCCGTTTCTGTTTGAAGTTATTCTCCTGGTGCTGGTTATTTTGGGTTGAAGAAGGGTATGGTTATTTAGGTTGGCTTCATCTGTGTAAAGTGCTAAGTCTTCATCTGATTCCCTAGGATTTACTCTGATTACGCCTCTAGTATAAAGTTGCCAATTTGGGGTTTGATGGGTTACTGTGAATTGGAAGATCTCCGTTACTTTTTTAGCTAAGTTTAGTGATTCTAGGTCCGGAAAGATAATTTGGTATCCTTTGTGTGCCTCTCTGATTTTGTTGTATTGGATTTTTTGTTTTTTAAACCAGAGTCCTACTTTGTTAATTGAGAGTTCCTTAGTTAGATTTATGACGGGGCCTGCCGCGCAGAAGTAGAGGGCGAAGGTGACCAGTGATGCTGCTTGTGATGTGAATGAGGTGTTGGAAGAGTCCAGCTTCCGTTTTTTAGGGTTTGTGGTGGCTGCGGTCGATTCGGAAGTTTTTGGAGGGTTGACTGTGGTTTTGTTTCCGAAATCGTGTGGTATGAGGGTCTCGGGTGTCCGATCGGAGGTGTTGTGCGCCTCCGATGGTGTAGGAGTGTCAGTCTGGTGTATGTCTGCCTGGGTGACTGTGACTGTGCGTGTGTCGGACATGGTGAGCTTGTGTGAGAGAGTGTTTGTTGTGTTTGGGTTTTGTATGGGGGTATTTGTAGAGAGTGCCTGGGTGAGTTGTGTTTGACTGGTTTCTACTCTATATAGGGTTGGATTGGAGAGGTTGTTTGTTTAGGTTAAGAGATTTCTAAAGGTTTGTGGTTTTTAGTGGGCTTGGGTGTGAGATACTTTGGCCTAGTGTTGAAAGGGTGTGTTGTGATAGTAACGGATTGGCTTGGGTGGTGGTTTGTTTTAAGCTAGAGGTTTAGGTGGTTTGGTGTTTTAAGTTGGCTTGGGTGTGAGTAATTTTAACCTAAATTGTATGGGTGTGTTGTGATAGTTACCGGGGTGTTGCTCTTGGGCTGGCTAGCAGTGGGAACTGTGCTGGCTTGGGAGGCTTTGCTGGGTGAGGTTGGCTTGGTGGCTGGATGGCTTGGGTTGCTTCGTAGGCTGAAGAGGTGTTGCTAGCTTGGAGTACAAACTGCGAAATGTGGCTGATAGCTGCACGCTTACAAGCGCGTGTGCTTTTTCGTGTATTTGTATCCGAATAATCACTTCTTAATCAAGGAAAGTTTCAATTTCAACAATACAGTTAGGTAGTAAAAACATTTGGCTACATTTCGGTTACAATAGCAACGCTCACGGGTGAAGTTCAAAGCCACACGTGCTGTTTCCAATGAAGCGACCCAGTCTAAAATGTAGACATCGCTACTTTCAAAAGCACATTTTTAGCCTTGAGACTCAAGTTTATGCATTTTAAACGTTGCCTGTCAATTCTCAATATATCTAACTATGAAAGTAAAACACAACACTCATCAGTATTGCCTATGATAAGCTAGAACAAGCTTTCAAACAACGACAATGAAGCACGTTTTTCTGACGACTTCGCCATTTTGCAACAGAAAACATTTGACACTATATTTCTGGAGACATAATTTTGGTCACTTCAATTAGAGTTGAAACTAACTTTGTCATAACAAGTAAGTAACGGGGATTTTACTTTCAGGAAAACAGTCTAGTAAGACGAGGATCTCGGGACACAAGCAGCTAGGGCGCGAAGCCCCGAACAGTAACATATATACATTGGTGTTTAGATCACTCGATCGGTCGTCACAGATTAAGTCTTTTTGCCTGTCTTAATAGCACGATATTAGTAGGGGTCTTCGTCGTTTGGATGTTAATTTTACCAGAACAATATAGGCTACCATCCATCAACGAAAAGTGAATGTTTCAGACGAAAGGCCGGATCGAGTGAGCGAGTGTGCCGGGCCTCGTGTTAAACAGTGATCACATGTTTTTAGAACGGCTAGATTTTAATCCCTGTAAATATACATCATAAATCAACAAACACAACATGTCTACTGAACCCGCTGAAAACGCGAGCATGCTGTTTTCATGGCAATGTCTGTTTACCAATGTGTGGTGGCTATATGTAGCTAAAGTTTGCCAACAAGCATTGTCTACGGCCATACCACGTTGAAAACACCGGTTCTCGTCCGATCACCGAAGTTAAGCAACGTCGGGCCCGGAGAGTACTTGGATGGGTGACCGCCTGGGAACACCGGGTGCAGTAGACATTTTTGCTGTGCGATTCCCACTTTTTTTCTTTTTCGACCATAAGGTGCACTTGCCTCATTCACATCTGATGTAATCATACACTTTTATTTCCTTGTAAATGGCCCCACTCATGCATGTCTGCTCAAAGACATAGCTGCCAGCCATGTATTCTTACATACCTTTACAGAAAGGAATTTTCCACTATACATGTGATCATATTCAGTTGTCAGTTCACCCAACTCGTCAACTATTCTGAAGGCATGTACGTCCTTTTCGCCACATAAAGGTGTTTGCGTGCACCGATAATTGACTATTTTACTTACTTTCTTACTTTCAAAGCATGAATATATAATATATACATGTAAAATTATAATGTTGTTCGTGTTAAGTCTCGGCTCACATCTCTTTGCCTACACAGATAAGAAAAGGAGAAAGAGTTAGATCGTACAGAGCGCCTGTCAATAGGAGTTCACTGGCTTGCTGCTGGAAAATGTATTTTGAAAGCTGTGAGCAAGCTGATCACTGTTGACACGCTTTAAAAATATGAAAGAAAAACGACGCGACTGTGTGATAAACCAGCTATTTTATGTTCCCCGTTCTAGCTGATCGCTGGCAAACGTACTTTAGACTTATTAGAAAGTATTTCCATACATTTCTCTCGCCATACAACATGTAGATGTGACATGTTGCAGGTAGGGGGCTAGGCGAAACGCACACGACCAAGGGCGCACAACTCTTGGCGCTCTATTTGAAAAGTCGTGCACAGGCGAGGCGTGTGTCGGTAAAACACCCCGTGGATGTCTGGCCTTTATCGCCGTTTTACACCTTTGAACACAACGTGCATGTGCAGCTACACACATAGGAAGTCTGCACTCAGGATATTATATATATCAACGACACTAATCGCCTCACTTTCCAACATACACCCATTTGGGGGGTTAATAAACAAGCATAACAACAGTCATTAGTGTGAAGACACACTACCCCCCCCCCCCCCCCCCCCCACCCCACACACACACACACACACAATAAAATCCCTGACATACCTTTATCATCATCACCTATGTGTGTTATGTGCGTGGTGGGTGTTGCTGCCACGTTATCTCTGTTATCACGAGAACCTGCACTTTATTACTGCTAATATACATATTTATTGTTTTGTTATCAGTGTTTTCAAGTTTTCTTTTGGGGTATTTGGATGGCCCTGAAAAGGGCCTTTGGACCACAGAAATGTGGAGCGAAGGCGTGACAATGAGAGCTTAAGCCTGTCATTATTTGGGCTTTTAGTGTTTGGAGATTATGGATTTATTGTTTGTTTGGATTGTCTATAGTCCTGCGGTTGCTGTTGAGTAGTTTGTAAGAAATTCCTTGTAACTTTGAGTGGTCAGTTTTAGGTTTAGGGCTACTTTGTGAAGATTTTTGGAGCTAGCCTCTGGGTTTATTTGTTTGAGCATGTAGGCCAGTAAGATTGTGATGTTGTTTAGTTTGGAAGTTATGGGGGTTTGGGGTTGAGATTGGATTTTGCGTTTGCGGTTTTTAAATTTTTTAGGTGCTGATCGGGTAATTTCAATTTCGTTTGCATTATCTTCAGTATCGTATTCGTCTTCGTCTATATTGCTTTGGTTTATCTCCTCACTCTCCATGGGGGTTGTTTGTGTGTTTGGTAGTGCTTGCGTGTGCGTGCTGGGTATGTCCATGGGTTGAGTGCTGTTTGTGTCTTCGGGTAGTGCTTGCTCGTGTGTGGTTGTTGTTGCCCTGGTGGCTGCGGGTTGTATGGTGTTGGGTAGGGTTGAGGCGTGTGAGGTGCGGTTTGTTTTGCTTGCGGGTGTGGATGCAGCGAGTGGCTGTGGTGTGGCGAAGGTTTGGGGTTTGCGTGGGTGGTGGTAGAGTGTGGTTGTTGCTTGGGGGATTACCTTGGGGATGCCATCCCATGGGGATTGTAGGTGTCGGTCGTTGTTTGGTTGCGGTGTGGGTAAGAGTGGATTGTTTGTATGCTGTGTTTGTTTTCTTGTTTGGAGTTTGGCCGAGTCAATGTCGATGTGTTTGTTGGCCTGTTGGGTGAGGGTGTGTCTGTGGGGACATTTGTTGGAGAGAGAGGAGTGATTAGTTGCTTTACAATGTATGCACCAGGGAGCGCAGGCTCCTGGGCATTGGGTTTGAGCACAAGTCCTACATTTGGTTTTTTTAAATGTACAGGTGTTAGCAGTATGATTGTATTGTAAACAGTTTGAGCATTGTTTTACTTGCTTAATGTAGGGTTTAACCTCTAGTTTAGTAGAAGCGCCGAAAGAGATGAAGTTTGGGGCTTGAGGGTATTTTTCTGATTTCTGAAAGTTTATGATAACAATTGGTGTGTTTGTAGTTTTGCCGTTTCTGTTTGAAGTTATTCTCCTGGTGCTGGTTATTTTGGGTTGAAGAAGGGTATGGTTATTTAGGTTGGCTTCATCTGTGTAAAGTGCTAAGTCTTCATCTGATTCCCTAGGATTTACTCTGATTACGCCTCTAGTATAAAGTTGCCAATTTGGGGTTTGATGGGTTACTGTGAATTGGAAGATCTCCGTTACTTTTTTAGCTAAGTTTAGTGATTCTAGGTCCGGAAAGATAATTTGGTATCCTTTGTGTGCCTCTCTGATTTTGTTGTATTGGATTTTTTGTTTTTTAAACCAGAGTCCTACTTTGTTAATTGAGAGTTCCTTAGTTAGATTTATGACGGGGCCTGCCGCGCAGAAGTAGAGGGCGAAGGTGACCAGTGATGCTGCTTGTGATGTGAATGAGGTGTTGGAAGAGTCCAGCTTCCGTTTTTTAGGGTTTGTGGTGGCTGCGGTCGATTCGGAAGTTTTTGGAGGGTTGACTGTGGTTTTGTTTCCGAAATCGTGTGGTATGAGGGTCTCGGGTGTCCGATCGGAGGTGTTGTGCGCCTCCGATGGTGTAGGAGTGTCAGTCTGGTGTATGTCTGCCTGGGTGACTGTGACTGTGCGTGTGTCGGACATGGTGAGCTTGTGTGAGAGAGTGTTTGTTGTGTTTGGGTTTTGTATGGGGGTATTTGTAGAGAGTGCCTGGGTGAGTTGTGTTTGTTGTTGTTGTTGTTGCATTAGGTGTTTAAGAGGTCGCCTTCTGCCTAGGCAATTTCGGCTGACCTGTCCCTCTTTGGGACTCCTGTGTGTGAGAAGGGTTCACATATCTATTGTGAGTTCGGTGTTCACATAATTTCTGTTTTTGCATTGATATGATTTCTATTTTCTTATATTGATATGATTTCATTTTTATCCTTGGCTGCTCTGTTTATATACGTTCGAGCAGCTGTCCATCTCTCAGAAATAGAGTTAGTTTGGCCTTCGCTATTGCATCTCTTGGCTTTAGGAGATCTATGACAGATAGCGGATCTAACTGCAATTCTTGTTTTAACCTAGCCCGGGCCGGGGCATGGTCTTGACATTCTAGTAACAGGTGGTCAATGGTTTCAGCCTGATTGCAAGATGAACAAACCTTGTCATAGTGCTTTTTGTGACCAAGTCTGAGGCGTGAGATAGCAGTTTCAATTTTCCTTTCATTTGAGTATGAGTTTGGCTTTTGTTGGACCTTGGGTTGAATTTTGTATAGCCATCTGCCGATCTTACTTGCGTCCCATTGGGTTTGCCATCTTTTTGCTATGGAGGCTTTGATTTTGCTTTTTATCTCTAGTTTACTAAAGGGAATAGGCTGTATATCCGCTTTGTCTAGAGCTAGCTTCGCCAGTGAGTCTGCTTTTTCATTTCCATGAATATCTATGTGAGAGGGGATCCAACACAGCTCCACCTGTTGCCCTTGGTCCGATAGTTTTGTATATTCGTATAGAATATTGTTGACTGTGTTTGGCCTGGAGTTTGAGTTTCTTCCACTGATGGCCTGAAGTGCACTTAGCGAGTCTGATAGGACGACTGCCTTTGCTTCCGGGAGTTCCGGTATGAGTTTGAGTGCATGATGAATTGCCTCCAATTCAGCCGTGAATACTGACTGACCATCGGGCAAGCGAACTGAATGTGCTTGGGGTTTGGAGCTGTGGATATGGATCCCGTAACCAGCACTGTTGTTGATAGGATTCTTGGATCCATCAGTGTATATATGGGCCCAGCTGTCCCAGGTAGTTTGAATTTTAGTGATAGCTACTGAACGTAGTAGGGTTGGGTTTTCTCTTTTAGTGACTTCTGATGTTAAAGCAGTGTCAACTTTGGGAGTTTGTAAAGTCCAGGGAGGGTGTAACCCTTTGTAGTGACTTTCTGGAGGCTGAATGTCATCGCAATTGTGACTTCGAATGAGTTCACGTACTAATATCCCAGATGGCTTTAGTGAGGGATTTTTTCGAGCTAGGGCCTCATCTCGAGCGTTTTTGTCTTGCCATATCTTTTTAACCAAAGGGTTTGATGTTCGTCCCCAGAACGATAATATTGCCTGCTCTCGTCTTAGTTTCAATGGGAGTTCTCCCGTTTCTACTTGTAGTGCTTCTAGTGAGGTGCCTGTCGCTGCGCCTGTGGCCAGTATTAGGGCTTTGTATTGTATTCTGTCTAGTCGCCTCAAGACAGTATTTGATGCTGAGTGAAAAGCCTCACAACCATAGTCAATTTTTGATCTGATAAGAGCTTTGTAGAGGTCCAGCTGAGTGTCCCTCGATGTGCCCCAAGATGTGCCTGAAATTGCCCGTAATACGTTCAGGTCTTTTTGACATCTGTTTTCCACATATTCGATATGCTTGCGCCAAGTGAGGTGTTGATCAAGGATAACTCCAAGAAATATTGCAGATTTTTCGAATTTGATAGGTTTGCCTTTTATGGAGACACGGGGTATCATAGCATCTTTCCCCCGGCGTTTGAATAGAACTCCAACAGTTTTTTCACTTGAAAGGGTGAATCCCCATTTATTGCACCATTGATCTACTCCGTCCAGGGCTGACTGGAGTTTTTTTCTGATTTGTGAGATATCTCTGTGCTTTACCCATATTGCTCCGTCATCAGCGAACTTAGAAGTTTGGGTAGGAGAGTTGACATGGTCAAAAAGATCATTGATCATGATATTAAACAGGGTTGGGCTTATAATGCTGCCTTGTGGCGTGCCATTGTCCAGTGCCATAGGATCCGATCGATTGTTCCCTATTTTAACTGAAAGCGACCTGTCTTGCAGGAAGCTGTCTATGAAGTTTGCCATGTTCCCTTCAACTCCATTTTGTGATAGTTTTGAGAGGAGTCCGTCATGCCATACCATGTCGAAGGCTTTGCTGAAGTCCAGAAATACTGCGGCTAGGTATTGTCTGTTTAATTGGGCTTTTTTTATTTCATTTTCCAGTCTTAGAATATGATCTAGACACGAGTGTCCCTTCCTGAAGCCACTTTGGTCAGGTTTTATGTGGTTGCCAGTTTCAAGATGATGCATGAGCCTTTTTGTAACCATGGCTTCCATGGCTTTGCACATGTTTGAGGTGAGTGAGATCGGTCGATAAGAGTTTGGTAGGGCTTCGTCTTTCCCTTGCTTTAGCAGCGGGATAACCGCAGCATGTTTCCATGCTTTTGGGACTTCTCCTTTGGACCATATCGTGTTATACAACTCAGTGAGTAAGCCTTTGGTTTGATCAGGTAGGTTTTTCAATATCTCGTAGCTGGTTGTGTCAAGACCAGGTGCTGTGCCTTTTCTATGTTGTATCGCATCATCAAACTCTGTCACAGTAAATGGTATATTGTATACCAGATGCTTGCTTTGCGGCCGTTTTGAGATCTTAGGCATAAGCATTTTTGCCTGTTTGAATTCTTCGCTGCAATTTGTGTTGCTGCTGACAGATGAGAAGTGCTCAGCTAGAATGTTGGCCTTTTCTTTGACTGTATGGGCGTTGGCTAACTTGGGAATTTTTGTGGGTTTACGCTTACCCCTGATTGCGTGTATTTTGCTCCAGACTGTTTTAGCATTTGTTTTCTCATTAAGGGATTTGCAGAAGGTCTGCCATGACTCTTTTTTAGAATCGTCTATGAGTTGTCTTACTTTCGTCCTGGCTGCTCGGACTTGGGCAAAGGCTGATTTATCCCTTTTTGACCTATTTAGGGCTTTCTTTCTCACTCTCCTAGCTTTTGCTATTTCCCTGTTCCACCATGGTACCGGCGTTTTGCCAGTTTTGTGGTCTTTTTTTGGAATTGATTTTTCAGCTGCGGCAATAATTGCTGAGGTGAGATTTTGGCAAAAAAGATCAGGATCATCCGAGGCAATTTCTGAGGACTTGAATGATACACATTCCTTCCTGAATTTAGGCCAGTCAGCCTTTGCATAGTCCCATGTGGGCTGAGGATTGGGCTGTTCCTCTAATTGTGGTGGGCTACCTATGTAGGTGAGTATAGGAAGGTGATCGCTTCCCCAAGTGTCGTCATGGACTTGCCATTGGCAATGTGAGGCGAGGTTTTTGGTGGCAATTGTGAGATCAATTGAACTCCACGTGTTGTGGACTTGGTCATAACGCGTGTGACTGCCGTTGTTCAGAGTTATGAGATTGTCGTCCTCAACCCATTTCTCTACCATTTTGCCATATTTGCCATATTTGCATGAATCATTGTGTTTGACTGGTTTGACTGGTTTCTACTCTATATAGGGTTGGATTGGAGAGGTTGTTTGTTTAGGTTAAGAGATTTCTAAAGGTTTGTGGTTTTTAGTGGGCTTGGGTGTGAGATACTTTGGCCTAGTGTTGAAAGGGTGTGTTGTGATAGTAACGGATTGGCTTGGGTGGTGGTTTGTTTTAAGCTAGAGGTTTAGGTGGTTTGGTGTTTTAAGTTGGCTTGGGTGTGAGTAATTTTAACCTAAATTGTATGGGTGTGTTGTGATAGTTACCGGGGTGTTGCTCTTGGGCTGGCTAGCAGTGGGAACTGTGCTGGCTTGGGAGGCTTTGCTGGGTGAGGTTGGCTTGGTGGCTGGATGGCTTGGGTTGCTTCGTAGGCTGAAGAGGTGTTGCTAGCTTGGAGTACAAACTGCGAAATGTGGCTGATAGCTGCACGCTTACAAGCGCGTGTGCTTTTTCGTGTATTTGTATCCGAATAATCACTTCTTAATCAAGGAAAGTTTCAATTTCAACAATACAGTTAGGTAGTAAAAACATTTGGCTACATTTCGGTTACAATAGCAACGCTCACGGGTGAAGTTCAAAGCCACACGTGCTGTTTCCAATGAAGCGACCCAGTCTAAAATGTAGACATCGCTACTTTCAAAAGCACATTTTTAGCCTTGAGACTCAAGTTTATGCATTTTAAACGTTGCCTGTCAATTCTCAATATATCTAACTATGAAAGTAAAACACAACACTCATCAGTATTGCCTATGATAAGCTAGAACAAGCTTTCAAACAACGACAATGAAGCACGTTTTTCTGACGACTTCGCCATTTTGCAACAGAAAACATTTGACACTATATTTCTGGAGACATAATTTTGGTCACTTCAATTAGAGTTGAAACTAACTTTGTCATAACAAGTAAGTAACGGGGATTTTACTTTCAGGAAAACAGTCTAGTAAGACGAGGATCTCGGGACACAAGCAGCTAGGGCGCGAAGCCCCGAACAGTAACATATATACATTGGTGTTTAGATCACTCGATCGGTCGTCACAGATTAAGTCTTTTTGCCTGTCTTAATAGCACGATATTAGTAGGGGTCTTCGTCGTTTGGATGTTAATTTTACCAGAACAATATAGGCTACCATCCATCAACGAAAAGTGAATGTTTCAGACGAAAGGCCGGATCGAGTGAGCGAGTGTGCCGGGCCTCGTGTTAAACAGTGATCACATGTTTTTAGAACGGCTAGATTTTAATCCCTGTAAATATACATCATAAATCAACAAACACAACATGTCTACTGAACCCGCTGAAAACGCGAGCATGCTGTTTTCATGGCAATGTCTGTTTACCAATGTGTGGTGGCTATATGTAGCTAAAGTTTGCCAACAAGCATTGTCTACGGCCATACCACGTTGAAAACACCGGTTCTCGTCCGATCACCGAAGTTAAGCAACGTCGGGCCCGGAGAGTACTTGGATGGGTGACCGCCTGGGAACACCGGGTGCAGTAGACATTTTTGCTGTGCGATTCCCACTTTTTTTCTTTTTCGACCATAAGGTGCACTTGCCTCATTCACATCTGATGTAATCATACACTTTTATTTCCTTGTAAATGGCCCCACTCATGCATGTCTGCTCAAAGACATAGCTGCCAGCCATGTATTCTTACATACCTTTACAGAAAGGAATTTTCCACTATACATGTGATCATATTCAGTTGTCAGTTCACCCAACTCGTCAACTATTCTGAAGGCATGTACGTCCTTTTCGCCACATAAAGGTGTTTGCGTGCACCGATAATTGACTATTTTACTTACTTTCTTACTTTCAAAGCATGAATATATAATATATACATGTAAAATTATAATGTTGTTCGTGTTAAGTCTCGGCTCACATCTCTTTGCCTACACAGATAAGAAAAGGAGAAAGAGTTAGATCGTACAGAGCGCCTGTCAATAGGAGTTCACTGGCTTGCTGCTGGAAAATGTATTTTGAAAGCTGTGAGCAAGCTGATCACTGTTGACACGCTTTAAAAATATGAAAGAAAAACGACGCGACTGTGTGATAAACCAGCTATTTTATGTTCCCCGTTCTAGCTGATCGCTGGCAAACGTACTTTAGACTTATTAGAAAGTATTTCCATACATTTCTCTCGCCATACAACATGTAGATGTGACATGTTGCAGGTAGGGGGCTAGGCGAAACGCACACGACCAAGGGCGCACAACTCTTGGCGCTCTATTTGAAAAGTCGTGCACAGGCGAGGCGTGTGTCGGTAAAACACCCCGTGGATGTCTGGCCTTTATCGCCGTTTTACACCTTTGAACACAACGTGCATGTGCAGCTACACACATAGGAAGTCTGCACTCAGGATATTATATATATCAACGACACTAATCGCCTCACTTTCCAACATACACCCATTTGGGGGGTTAATAAACAAGCATAACAACAGTCATTAGTGTGAAGACACACTACCCCCCCCCCCCCCCCCCCCCCCCCACCCCACACACACACACACACACAATAAAATCCCTGACATACCTTTATCATCATCACCTATGTGTGTTATGTGCGTGGTGGGTGTTGCTGCCACGTTATCTCTGTTATCACGAGAACCTGCACTTTATTACTGCTAATATACATATTTATTGTTTTGTTATCAGTGTTTTCAAGTTTTCTTTTGGGGTATTTGGATGGCCCTGAAAAGGGCCTTTGGACCACAGAAATGTGGAGCGAAGGCGTGACAATGAGAGCTTAAGCCTTCTTTGGCTTGACTGCCTTCTTCTTGGGGGTCTTGACCTTCTTGGGTTTGGCTGCTGCCTTCTTGGGTGTCTTCGCCTTCTTGGGCTTGGCTGCAGCCTTCACCTTCTTTGGTGACTTAGCGGCCTTCTTAGCGGCTGTTTTGGGCTTCTTGGCAGCAGCTGGCTTCTTGACTTTCTTGGGGGATTTGGCAGCCTTCTTTGGTTTGGCAGCTGCCTTAGCCTTCTTGGGTTTTTCGTCTTTCTTTGCCTCGCCAAGACGGAATGATCCAGCGGCTCCAGTTCCCTTTGATTGCTTCAGTGCGCCGTTCTTGACTCCATTTTTCAAAGCAGTCTTGATGCGAGCATTGATGGCCACCTGGTTGTCACCAACCTTGTAGTTGGCCAAGATGTATTTCAGAACAGCCTGTCGGGAAGAACCACCCCTCTCCTTCAGGGTTGAAATAGCTTTCTTGATCATCTCCAAATAGGTAGGATGTGCGGCAGCCTTCTTAGGCTTGGCAGCAGCCTTCTTCTTGGGAGTCTTGACAACAGCGGGGGCAGCAGCAGCATCAGCCATAGTGGTAAGTTTGAGTGGTAAAAATTCACGTCAGCTACGAGAGAAGCACAGAGAGCGAATGACACTTCCCCAGTCAGTCAGTCAGTTTCTTAGTTTTAACGACCCCTTCTAGCATAGCTAATTTCGGGGTCGGGATGGCCCCGTTCTAGTAGATAGGGAGAATTTGAAAAATAAAGTCCTGATAATGACGTGAATAGTGGAGATATGCTAAGGTAGCCACCCAAAAAAATGTAAGGTTTTATGGGGCAGGGGAATCGGGTGGAGGGCTGGGTGGTTGGTGTGTTGGGACTTGGCGTAGCGATTTATTTGGAGTATTTATAGTTGGTTATGTTTTGTGTGGTTTGTGGAAGAATTAGAAATTATTTGATAGTTTTCTTAAGTTGTTTTTGTGTCACGTGGGTTTTGTTAGGAAGGATAGTGGGCAGTGAGTAAATAACGATTTGGGATTTTAGGGTGTTTTTTGTGTGGTTTTTGTTGTTGTTGTTGTTGTTTTTTTGTGGGTTTTTTAAATGTCTTGGGGGAGGTGCGTTTGGTTTATATCCGTTAGGAAGTTGGATGGATGATTGTGTCGCTTTTGTGGGTGGTGTTAGATTAGTTTTATGATATCTGTTTTTGTGACATAATTTATGATTGTTTTTTGTATTTGTGGGGGATTGTGGGGGGATAGGAGTGTGTGGATAGTTTTTGTGTATTTTGCATCTAGTGTGTTGATGTACTGTATTCTGTGTGGTAAGTAGAGTGTGCACGTGTAGAATAAGTGCTGTATTGTTTGGGGAACTTGACATGTGGGGCAGAGCCCAGTGGAATGGCGAAAGTTTAATTTTGTGATGCCTACATATAGCCTGTTTAGTGCGGATTGTATATTACGTGAGTTGCTAGAAAGATTTACTTTATTGATTTGTTTATTTATTGTTTTGTATGTCCATGTGGCGGGGGAGGTGTGCAGTTGTTTGAAGTTTTCTTGGGTTATTAGTTTATTTATGATGGATTTATATTCCTGTTTGCTGTATGTCAGTGGGTAATTAATATGTTTATTTTTTGCTGCTTGTTTGGCCGCTTGATCTGCCTTTTCGTTTCCCGTGATCCCAATATGTGAGGGTACCCATGCAATATTGATTTGTTTATTCTGTTCTGTTAATGTTTTCGTTAAGTGTAGTATTCGGTGTAGTAGATGTGGCCTGTTTGTGTAATTTCTGTTTTTAATTGATTGTATTGAGCTAAGTGAATCTGTGAGGATTAGAAGTTTGTTTTGTGTTATTGTCTCTGCCATTTTGAAGGCCATATAGATTGCTGTTTTTTCGGCGGTATGTATGGATAGGTGGTTTGGGATGCGTGCTGATGTGGTGGTTATGTTTGGTTTGGTTGTGTGTATTGCGAAGGCTGTTGTGTGGTCCGTCGGGTTGTGTGACCCGTCTGTGTAGATGTATGTCCAGTCTGGCCAGTGTTGTTGTATGTAATCCATTGCCATTATTTTTTGTTGGTGCTTGTTTGATGTTATTTTTGTGATGTTTGTTAGACCAGTGTCAGTATGAGGAGGTGGCAGGTGATATGAGTAGTCATGAATGACAGGGGTGAGTTTTATGTTTTTAAGTTTGTATGTTTTGAGAAGGTGGTTTAGCCGAATGGTGAATGGGAGTCTTCGTCTTTTTTTGATTAGTTTGACTTTCTGTCTTAGTGGTAGATTTTCTGTTGTTGTTATGAGGCTGCTTAACAATGGGTTTGTGCATGCTGTAGCCCAGTAGTTTAGTGTGATTTGTTTGCGTTTAAGGGGGAGAGCTATTTCCCCAGTGAGCTTTAAGAGAGATGTGAGTGCTGTGCCTGATATTGTACCTAGTGAGATTGATAGTGCTTTGTATTGTATTGAGTCTAATTTCTTGGAGTCTGTTTGTGTGAGTGCGTCGTATGCGGGTGCGGCGTATTCTAACTTGGGTCGGATGAGTGTTTTGTAGACAGTAAGTAGCGTGTGCTGGTCTGCTCCCCAGCTTGTTCCCCGTATGCTGCGCATTAAGTTAAGATCATGGTTGCATTTTGTGATGAGGTGTTTGATATGGGGTGTGTATGTTAGGTGTTGGTCGAGTATTAGGCCTAGAAATTTTGTTTGTGTGCTGTAGTTGATTTGGGAGTTATTTAGAGTTAAAGGTGGGGAGTAGTTTTGCATGTTAGGTGTTTTGAAGAGTATGGCTACTGTTTTGTCAGTATTGATTTTAAAACCCCATGTATTTGCCCATGTGTCAATATCATTGAGTTCTTGTTGGATATGTTCCTGCGCTGTACCTAGTGTTTTGTGTGAAGTCCAAAGTGATGCGTCGTCTGCAAATTTAGCTGGTTTGATTGTTGAGCGGATGTCTGTGAATATGTCATCGATCATAAGATTGAAAAGTGTTGGAGAAAGGACACTGCCTTGAGGTGTACCGTTTTGGACGGGATGTGGGTCAGAAAGTGTGTTGTTTACTTTTACAGTTATGGTACGATTTTTGAGAAAGTTGTGTATGAAGTTTAGCATACGTCCTTTAATATTTTTGTTTGACAATTTAGTGATTAGGCCGTCATTCCAGATCATGTCAAAGGCTTTTGAGAAATCGATGAATACAGCTAGGAGATAGTGTTTGTTAGCCTGGGCTACTCTGATGTCGTGTTCAATTCGAATGATGTGATCTAGGGTGGTTCTGTTTGGCGTGAACCCGCTCTGGTCTGCATGTAAGAGATTGTTTGAGTCTATGTGGTGTTGAAGTCTTTTCTTTATTATTGTTTCCATGATTTTGCACATATTTGATGTGAGTGATATGGGTCTATATGATTCTGGGTTCTGTGGGGGTTTGTTTGGTTTTTTGATTGGGATTACCAGTGCTTGTTTCCATGTCGTAGGTATTTGAGCGGTATCCCAGACTGCATTGAGGAGTTTCAGTAGAAGAAGTTTTCCGTGCATGCTGAGTTTTTTTAGTAAAATATAAGTTAAGTCATCTGCTCCTGGAGCAGACGACGTGGTTTTGCTTTGGAGAGCGTGTGTCAGCTCGTGTATTGTTAAGGGTGCGTTGTAGGGTATATGGGCTTGGGGTGGTTGTGTGATGTAATCAGGTGTAGTGAGTAGTTTCTGTTGGAGTGAAGTGGGGTGGTTTGTGTTACTACTTATATGTTGGTAGTGTTGAGCTAATGTTTGCGCTTTTAATTTGTTATCAGTAAGGTTGTCTATTTTGTGGATGTGTGATGATTTTTTGGTACCGTTTATTGCCTTTAGTTTGCTCCACATGGCCTTTGAATTGTTTTTTGTTGTGTTTAAGGTACTGCAGAATTTTTCCCAGTGTTCTTTTCTCGTGTTTTTTATTAACATGTGTGTACTGTTTCGTAGTTGTTTTGCGTGTGGGAGTTCATGTGGATGGGTTTTTGCGCGTCTAAATGCTCGTTTTCTTTGTCTTCTAGCCTCTTTGATTTCTGGGGTCCACCAGGGAACTTTATTTCGTTGGGGGTTGGGGTTTGTTTTGGGGATACACTTAGTGGCTATAGTGATAATTTCTTTTGTTAATTTTTTGGAAAAGATTTCAGGGTCTGAATCTATAATTTTTAGGTTGTCAATTTGGTAGGTTAAGGTTTTGTATTTCTCCCAGTCTGCTTTTTTGTAGTTAAATTTTGGATCTCGTGAAGTTTGTTCTGATATATAACTTGAACCAGTTTTGATATTTATTGAGATTGGGAAGTGATCACTACCCCATGGGTCGTCAAATACTTCCCATGTAGTTTTACTTGCCAGATTTGGGGTAGTTATTGTCAGATCTATTGCAGTGAGGAAGTTTTGGTTTTCCTGTGGGCTGTATCTGGTAGGGGATTTGTCATTTAAGATAATGAGATCATTTTGTTCTGCCCATGCGTATAGTAGATTACCAAATTTGTCTGTGTGGTCTCTAGTAGTCCAGCTATGGTGGTGCGCGTTTAAATCTCCTAACAATATAGTATTTTTTGTGATGTGCTTTGCTAGGATTTCAAGGTCTGTGTTGTCGAAAGGGTTTGTGGTTTGATGGTATATGTTTATCAGTGTTATATTAGTGTTTTCTGTCGAGATTGTGTACGCTTGTGTTTCTAAGTGAGGAGTGTCAATTGGAACTTTTTGGTAACCAAGTGTGTCGTGTATCAGTAGTGTTAGGCCACCATGTGGAGCGCTTGGATTTTTTGATGTGCGGTATTTGTTTATTGTGGTGTAATTTGGTATAGTGAATTGTTTGTTCTTTGGTATTTTAGACTCCTGAATGGCTATTATTTGTGGGTTGAGCTTATTTAGTTTTATTAGTGATTTAATTTCATGGGATTTAGATATGATGCCATTTGCATTCCACTGGATTATGTGCATGGTGAGTAGTAGCAGTAGGAGTGTGTGTATTTGCGTGTGTTTGTGGTGTCCCATCATAGTTTGATTGATTTGACATTGTGTTTAAATTGCACTAGAGGGAGAGTGTATAGTGAGGTTTGGAGAAGATATTGGTGAATTGTTTCGATTGTGTTGTTGGGAGAGAGGGTTAGTGCAGTGATGAATTCTATGAGATTTTGTTGGATGTTTTGCAGTTTGATGATTGCATCTTGTGCTGTGTGTACTGGTGGTGTTGTGTCTATTGAACGGAGGTTTGAGTTTGATTTAGGGGGTTTGGGGGCTACGTTTGTAGTGACTGGTGGTGGCCCTGGGTTTGGTTGTTCATGGCTGGCTGTGGTAGCTGGAGTCATGGTTTTGCCTTTTTTTTGTGTTTGCCTACGACCCCGTGACGACGCTAGACTAGCAGAGCGACCTGAGCTTGGTGCTCTTGGCTTGGGCATCCTGGGTTGGCGGCGGGGTGGTGGGTTTGGGGGTGGTGGGAGGTCGTCCTCGTTGTCATGTGAAGATTCGTAGGATAAAGGTGGGGGGTCAAAATCCCTGTCGTACCAGTTGTATATTTTGGAGTTAGGGTTCCTTGCAGGGGCGGGGAGGTCAGATGCTGTAAGGTGTTTATTTATTGATAGGATTTGGTTTTGGCGGACTG